AAAAGCATATTGCAATTGGTAACCTCCATCTACCTGTTAACTTTTATTTGTGTTAAGGCTGATGGCCACATGCTTTTGGTTCCTTGTAGAGACATTATTAGAAGACCCAATTAAGAATGACTCATGTAGGGCTGGAGAGATGGCTCAGTGGTTAAGAGCACTGACTGCTCTGCCAGAGGTCCTGAGTTCAATTCCCAACAACCACATGGTGGCTCACAACCATCTGTAATGGGGTCTGATACACTTTTCTAGTGTGTGTCTGAAGGCAGCTGAGGTGTACTCATTAAAAAAAAAAAGACTCATGTAAGAAAAGTTTAGTGTCTTTTAGGACATGAATTCTAACATGGGGGTTTTGCCTTTGAGTCGAGGCGTGAGGGACGTGAAGTTTTCCTCCTTTGTCTGCTTTGGGAGCTTCAATGTGTTAGTTTGTCCTGAGATGGCATTCTTCATGACCACACATTGTCAAAAGTTCTAGTTGTCAAACACAGATAAGCAGACTGATAGTCATGGTAGGGCAACTGTCTTGAATACCTCTATTTGAGAGTTAAAAAATGTATACCTTGTATAGGTCCTAGTATATAGCCTGTCACTTCCCAAAGCAGTCATTGAAAGAGCAACATATTTTAATTTGGAATCCAGCTCCACCTTCCCTGGGCAGGGAGGGGCCCCGGCATGACCAGAAGCACAGTGCTGCCTCCTACGTGCAGAAGAAAGAATGAATCTCTTAGCAAGGCTAAGGGGTAATAGCAGTTAGCTAGGCAGCTAATAATTTCTGCCTTACTATACTGTCCTGATTGGGGACAGAGCATGTCTTGAGTTTAGAGAAAGCTGACCCCAGTGCTCAGCAGGTGAAAGGTTGACAAAGCAGGTGAAGTAGGAATGAAGCTGCCCCACTCAGCAAACTGACCGTGCGGCTTCTGTTCTTTATTTTGTCCAGCCATCTTCAGCACCAGAATATTGTCTCTTGGCCTCGTTAGTTCAGTGAAGAGCACAGAAAAATCAGTATTTACCTTGCCTCTTCTTGAGGAGTTCTTACTTTCTATCTTTAATATGAAAGATTGGTTTCTATTTTTTTTTCTTTTTTTTTTTGGGACAGGGTTTCTCTGTGAAGCCCTGGCTGTCCTGGAACTCACTCTGTAGACCAGGCTGGCCTGGAACTCAGAAATCCACCTGCCTCTGCCTCCCAAGTGCTGGGATTAAAGGCGTGCGCCACCACCGCCCGGCGATTGGTTTCTTTTAAATACTTGCTCCTTATTCCTTGTCTTCTATGGCCCAGCAACAAAAACTCCAAATAATAAAATATTCTTGTTATAAAGCTTTTGCCACTATTTAACTTCAGGTGTATAGTATTTAATTAAAATTTTGACTTTAAAAAATTATTTTTAAGATTTATTTATTTTACATATATGAATACATGGTTGCTATTTTCAGACACACCAGAAGAAGGCACCGGATCCCATTATAGATGGTTGTGAGCCACCATGTGGATGCTGGGAATTGAACTTAGGACCTCTGGAAAAGCAGTCAGTGCTGTTAATTGCAGAGTCATCTCCCTAGCCCTATTTTTTTTTTTTTTTTTTTTTATAAGATGGGCATCTCATTTTGTAGCACAGGCTGGCCTGAGTCTGTGTCAGCCCTCCTGATTCTGTTCCTCAGGCACTGTAATTCTAAGCATAGGAAACATCTCATTAAAAAAAAAAAAGTTAGATTCTTTTAAATTATGGGGATGGTAGCAAAGGAATGCCAATGTATCCTTGTAATTCCCTTGCTTTTCATGTTCCCTTCCCGGTTTCCAAGTGACATTAGCAGAGGAAAAAATTCTTTTGGATAAGTTTTGATGTCTAAAAGCAAACCAGCCAACCCCTAGAGACTCAGTGGAGTTGAAAGTCTGTCATAATGGGGGTAGGGAATTCAGAGGGACGAGTGCTGCTTCCAGCCCAGGACACTGAGAAGAGAGCTACCCAAGCCTTTTCCTCGGAGTGTGTTTTCCGTACCTTGGTCTGTGTTTTGCACAGTGCATTTGTGTTTGGCATAGTGTTTGCTCACTGGATCTGTCATCTGGATCACTATTTTCTTCACAGTCGTATGGAATACCGCTATCACAGTGTTTCAGCAGTATGAATTTGCTGAGCAGAGAGATTTGTTCTAACAGTCTAGATCACTTTCTCCTCCTGACTATAATAATATAGATGCTCATCACTATTTTTATTTCCTAGATCTTATACTACATTGAAATGCTACATAGAGTGATTTTGTTTAATTCTTTTCTCACTGTTGGTTATTTAGGTAGATACTTTCTTTTCCAGTGTATAAAGTTGCGATAAAATACAACATAAAATTTGTTAGGTTCAACAGTTTTTCTTAATTTGGTACTAGATCTTGCTGTGTAGCTCAGGCTGACCTTGAACCTGTAGCCTGGCTTCTGCCTCCTGAGTATTGGGATTACAGCTATACATACCTGGCCAGCTCAACCATTTAAAAAAATTGTTGTGTGTGTGTGTATGTGTGTGTGTGTGTGTGTGTGTGTGTATGTATGTGTGTGTGTATGTGTGTGTGTGTGTGTGTTTGTATGTGTGTGTGTGTATATGTGTGTGTGTGTGTGTGTGTGTGTATGTGTGTGTGTGTATGTGTGTGTGTGTGTATATGTGTGTGTGTATGTGTGTGTGTGTATATGTGTGTGTGTGTATGTGTGTGTGTGTATGCTCATGAAAGTCAGAAGGTAAAGTTGGATTCCTCCTCCATTAATCTCCATATTACTATCATCATCACCATCATCATCATCTCATTATTTTGACACAGGGCTCTAGTTTTGACTGTACTGGTTCACACTCTGTATACCAGGGAAGCTTGAACTTACAGAGATTCACTCTCCCTGCCTCCCAAGCTCTGGGGTAAAAGGTGTGCACTATCGTATCTGGCTCTTTGTGGAGGTCTGAATTGGAGCTGGCTGATCCAGGTGGGCTGGCTGGTGAGTAAGCTCCAGGGGTCAGTTTGTCTCCACTTCTGCAGCACTGAGATTACAGACGAACTCAGATTTAAAAACGTGAGTTCTGAGGATCTAAACTCGGAGCAGGTCCTTAACTATTAAAACATTTTTTGTCATGACAGTGTTTCTCTGTGTAGCCCTGGGTGTCTTGGACTTCACTCTGTAGACCGTGGTGGCCTTGATCTCACAGAGATCCGTCTGCCTCTGCCTCCCTAGTGCTGGGATTAAAGACGTTTGACACCAGCACCAACCAGCTCCACTAAAACCTATTGCCTTGCATTGATTGACTGATTGTGTGTGTGTAGTTGGGCAGTCGTTCAGGCCACTGCACAAGGTCAGAGGACAACTTGAAGGAGTCGGGTCTTGGGGATCGAACAGAGGTGGTTAGGCTTGGTAATAAACATCTTTACCTGCTGAGCTATCTCACTGGGCCTCATTTATTTTATGTATATGAGTACTCTATCTGCATGTACCTCTACCTGCATGCCAGAATAGAGGGCATCAGATCCCAGGATAGATGGTTGTGAGCCACCATGTGGTTGCTGGAAATTGAACCCAGGACCTCTGTAAGAGCAGGAGTGTTCTTATCCGCTGAGCCATCTCTCCAGCCCCTGCCCCTGGTCTTCATTTGTAAGTAGTATTTGTTTAATACTATATAGCCGTAGCCACAGCCCATCTGTATAACTAACTCTCTTTATCCTATGACACTGAAACTTCATGTCATTAAATAATAATTTGTTTTCCTCCAGCTCTTGACAATGAATTCTACTTTCTGTTTGATTTTGGACTGTTGCAGGTTATTTTATATAATCTATACTATTGAATTAGTGTATTCAGTATTTATCTTTTTTGTGACTGGTTTATTCCAGTTAGAATAGACTTCCTGGCAGTCATCCATTTCAGAATACCCTTTCTTTTAAAGACTAAATTATAATACTCCATTGTATGGATGTATACCACATTTTGCTCACCCATTTATCTGTTGATGGGCAGTTTGCTGCTCCATTTTAGATGTTTGCAATAGTGCTATGATTTGGGGCAAAAAACTACCTCTGAAAAACTCTGTTTTCAAAGCCAAGCAGGATGGTGCATGACAGTGGTGCTACCACACAAGGGGGAGAGCAGGGCTATGCTGGTAATCTGAGGCCAGCCTCATCTACACAGCAAGCTTCAGGCTGGCCCAAGACTACATAGTCAGATCTTGTTTCCAAAAAAAACTAAAACTAGTGAGGCAGTGGTGGTTGTACATGCCTTTAATCCCAGCACCTGGGAGGCAGAGACAGAGTTTGAAGTCAGCCTGGTTTACAGATCTAGTTTCAGGACAGCCAAGGCTATACAGAGAAATCCTGTCTCAAAAAAACAAAACCAAAAAAACCAAACAGCATCAAAGTATTCCTGGACTCTCTTCAGTTTCTCCTGCATCTGCCAGAAGTCAGATTTCCGTGTCATGTTATCATTGTGCTCAGCTCTTCTCATGGGGCCTGAGCCATAGGTTGTTAGTTTTCGCTGTTATTAATCCTGTTTGTAATTGTATATCTGAGTGTGGTAGGTGAATGTGAGTGCAGATTGCTTATAGACTAGGTGTGTCAGATGCTCCTGGAGCTGGTCTTAAAGGCTGTTGTGTGCTGCCTGCTTGACTATTGGGAACCAAACATGGGTCCTTCGTAAGAGGTCTCACTCTGTGGCCCTGGCTAGAGCTCTCCCTCTGTGGACCAGGCTTGCCTCCACCATACAGAGATCCACCTGCCTCTTTCTCCCGAGCTTTGGGGTTAAACGCATGTATGCTACCACAGTATCCTTTACTGTTGAGCCACCTCTAGCCCTGCCTCCACCTCCCGTGGGATTCCATTCCAGATGTGCGCCATCTCTCCTGGTTCTTGCTGTGCTGGGAATGGGACCCAGCTGTGTGTGTGTTGGGCAGGCCCCTCTAGTCACGTTGTCTTTTGTGACTTAATTTTTAGCCTAATATTGATAAATCTGACTGTTGGAAATTGTGTTTACTTTTAATTTTCAGAAGCAAGAGAAAAAGAAGAAGAAATGAACAGAGAGAAAGAATTAAGAAAACAAATTGAAGATAATGAACCAATACCGTCAGGCTCAAGTGGAGTCAGAGATAGCTCAAAATCATCATCCAGGTGCCTGGATTTTCCACAAGACTTCTAAACTCTCAGTTTCTATATGTTCATAATATAATTTAGTTTAAAAAGATCCACTGTTTCTTCACTTTAGACAGTTGAGTACTCCCAGACTGTGAAAACGCTGAGAGTCAGCTTTGGAACCTGAGAACTTGTGATACAGTGTTTTAGGAGAAAGTGATGTAAAAACACTTGCTCCATGCCTTTTGTTGAACTAGAAGCCATTTTAAAGTTCTTTTTGGCTCAGCTTGATGGTTCCATTGTATAGGCAGACATGAGTCCAACACTCTATACTAGGAATGTGCCAGCGCTCATGACTGTGACCATTTTCTGTCTTTTTTTTCATTGTTTTAATTGATTATTTTACTTATTTACATTTCAAATGTTATCCCCCTTCCCAGTTCCCCTCCACTAGGCCCTATCCCCTCCTCCCCCATCTGCTTCACTTTGGGGGAGGCCCTTTGTGGTTTTGAGGTGAGGTTTCTGTTTTTAGTCTCCGAAGAAGCTGGGATTGACAGTAAGTGCCACTGTGACAGACTCGGTGATAGTTTTTAGTGCACAGTTTTAGGGGAGGATTCTCTAGAGATCAATAAGGGCTTGTGCATGCTATATATTTTGTGCATGCCATATGTTTTTGGCCAGGAACGTCTGTTCTTTCTGCCTCTTCTTTTTGAGTACTGTCATTATAGGCGTGTGCCGTTATGCCTAGCTGTGCACACAATGGTGAACTGCTGCTTATAATGTGAATCCGTTACTGATCGTTCTTCTGCACTCCTGACTGTCTCATTGAGACATACACATACATATAGACAATCCATTACTGATCATTCTTCTGCACTCCTGACTGTCTCATTGAGACATACACATACATATAGACAATCCATTACTGATCGTTCTTCTGCACTCCTGACTGTCTCATTGAGAAATTCACATACATATAGACAATCCATTACTGACCGTTCTTCTGCACTCTTGACTGTCTCATTGAGACATACACATACATATAGACACACTCACACACATTAGCTTATTTTATTTATTTACTTATTTATTTTTTGAGGCACAGGCTTGCTTTGTAACCATTAGTGTCCTGGAGCTCACAATAAACCTTCTGTCTTCATCTCTTGGAATCTTAGGATTGCAAATGTATACCACTATGTCTGGTCATTAATATATCCTATCTATATATTTATAGTTGTTTTTTGAGATAGAGTCTCTCTAGACAGTCCTGGCTGTCCTGGAACTCATTATGTATACTGAGTTGGCATTGAATTCACAGAGATCTGATTGCTTCTGCCTCCTGAGTGCTGGGATTAAAGGTATATGTCACCCCACCCAGCTATTAATATATTTTAAAATAACTACTAGGTTATTTTTATTGTTTTGCATTTGTGATATATTGAGAATCAGTATCGCATACCTTGTAAATAGTTTCTAAAAAATCTGGAATGTTACTAAAATTTAACTTAGAACAAATTTCCATGTGTCTTGGCTTTAAAGAAAAGGCATATGGGCCAGATGTGGTAGTGCACATCTTTAGTGCCAGTACTTGGAACATGGGCCAGGAGGATCCTTGTGTGCTCAGGAGTTAGACCCTGTCTCTAAAATAAAAACAAAGAAAAATGTTATATGAACCTGCCCTGGTGGCACGTGTAAATGTCACTTGTATGAAGTGGAAGCAGGAAGATTGGGAGCTCACAGGCTGTATGAGATCCTTCTCAATCAAAAATCAAAGTTAAAGTGACAACGACCAGCACCACCATTTTGTGGATATAAATTGCCACTCATAAATTACGGACATGAAGACAGGTGTCACTGAGCTTCTGAAATATCACTTCAGTCAGGAGACAAATGTCATGTACATCTGTAAGGTAGAGACTGTTTGGTTATTTGCTTTTTAAGAAATTCACAGGCTGGGTATGGTGGCACACACCTTTAGAGTCAGCCCTTCGGAGGCAGAGACAGGTGGATCTTTGAGATTGAGGTCAACCTGGTCTATAGAATAAGTTCCTGGACAGCCAAAGCTACACAGAGAAACCCTGTCTCAAAAACAATCACAGTAAAAGTAGTGAATTTTGCTTATGAATTTATTTCCAAAATAAAACTTGGTTGTGGACATCAGTTAATGTTTGGCTCCAGACTGAACTGGGAGAAGGGCAGGGAGGAGTGACTCTAAGCTGTTCTACCCTGTGTACTGTTTTTAAGGCTTCAGTTCCTGCTTTGACACCACACTGAATCAAGGGATCCTTTGTTTTCTATCAGAGACATTTTAATCATAATTTCATGGACTTGGGTTTTTAGAATACTGAAAATATGTTAAATTAAAAAAAAGGTTTGACATTACAAGTAAAAAGCCAGACATGGAATGAAGAGCTGACACATTTCGTTCACATTCTGTGGGAATGTTAGGCTTAGATAATGAACCATGAAACTAGCCGGGCAGTGGTGGCGCACGCCTTTAATCCTAGCACTTGGGAGGCAGAGGCAGGCGGATTTCTGAGTTCGGGGCCAGCCTGGTCTACAGAGTGAGTTCCAGGACAGCCAGAGCTACACAGAGAAACCCTGTCTCAAACAACAACAACAACAACAAAAGAGATTAACATGGATCAGCTTAGCTCTCAGTCTGATGCTTACTTTTGAATTAGTTAACATAGTTAGCTTAGCATAACTGATAAGGGTCAACATTTTAGTTTAATGTTTTCAGTGGCCCGATAATCTTGCATTAAAAAAAACCCAAAAAACCTTTTCTTCATTCTGAGGGCTGGGATTAAAGGTGTGTGAACCAGCATGCCAGCCAAGACAAAGTAATATTTAAACAGTGCATTTATTCATGGAATGTTTGAGCTGCAAATGTAAACATATTTGAAAATTTCATTCATTAAAGGAGAGGTAGGGCTTCCCGAGAACTTAGTGCTGTCTGCAGAGATGCCTGGGGAGGTGAAGGGACTGCAGCAGAAAAAGAAAGAGTGTCTGTTTCTGTGTTTCCAGGGACACAAGCAGCAGTGACAGTGACGACAGTTCTGATTCATCTGATGATGAGCTAATCGGCCCTCCTTTACCCCCTAAAATGGTAGGAGAACCAGTTAATACTGTGGATGAAGGTATCCTTGGCCCTCTACCTCCACCTCTGTGTGAAGAAGGAGAAGATGATGATGATGATGAGTTAGAGGATGAAGGAGAAGAGGATGTAAGTATTCAAAGGTTTTGTATGAATTTGGAGGAGTTGTAAGTAGTATAGAGAATACTTTCCGGCTAAACTGCCAGTCATGGGCAGGATAGCCACCACCTGTTGATTATAAAAATCAGACTTGGGCTATTGATGTGGCTTAGCTGGTAAAGGTGCTTGCCTCCAGGCCTAAGGACCTGAGTTCCATCCCTGGGGTGACATGGTAGAAAGGAGAGAACTGACTCTGAAAGTTGCCCTCTGACCTCTACACACACACACACACACACACACACACACACACACACACACAGCACACAAATAAGTAGATGTAATAAAATAGGATTTTAACAAGGAGATTTGTTTTTGGTTAGTTTTTAAGTTTGCTTCACTTTGTGGTGATAGAGCTTGAACGCACAGTCTTTGAATGGTAATCAGGCCCTCTGTCACCGAGCTAGGTCCTCAGCCTTTAGCTGATTTTATTACTGTTTCCGGTTCTCTCCTGAAAATACAGCATCACTCTCCTGATACTCCATTCAGAAACAGTGATTTTAGTGAAAGGTAGAAAAGGGGAAAATGTTAAGTAGATTTTGCTAAATGGATAGTACAGGATAAAATGATAGGCCTCAGTTCATATGTGTCAGTAATCACAGTAGATGCCAGCACACTTAGCTTGTTATGTATGACCTGAGAAATTCTTGGTTACAGAACTAGGAAAGATTCTGTGATTCTATTATATTATTGGTGGAGTATCTAAACTATAATTACAGTGAAAGATTAAAGGTAAAGATACAGAAGGGTATAGCAGAAACACAGTAAGCAAGTTAGATGGTTAATGTTACAACGTCACATCAAATCATCTTTAGGCATTATAATTATTGGTAAGAGTGACCTCACTTGATGGTAAAAGGAAGTTTGCTCTTCAGGAAAGCTTGGTGGTCCCTAATCTTTGTGCATCTGAGGTGTTTGCAGATGTGTGAATACTGACAGAATTGCAAGGGGAAATGGATGAACACACTGTTAGAATGAGAAAGTCGCCATGTGAGGACATTAGTCAGAAGTATAGGTTTGAGTAATACAAGCAAACAGACTCGAGCTATTGAACACAGGTAGTTCCCTCATTGAGTATTTTCTTTTCAAGCATACATAGGCAGTCAAAACCCACAACAATATCTAGGCCATCAAGTGCTATGGAAAGATGAACTTCTGAGGAACCAAGTTGAAGAGGTGCTCAGTCATGGAGTACTGTGACATGTGAGACAGGGTTTTGTAATGGAGTGAATGTTTGTATCTGGTCAGAATTCTTATGCTGGAAACCCAAACCTTCAGGGTTGCTATATTTGGAGGTGAGGTTTTGAGGAAGTAGTTCAGGTTAAAATGTATGAAAAGAGCCCCTAGAAATTATGTTCTTCTATGAAGAGCCATCAAAGCTGTGGGATAGTGCAGGCCTATGATCCTCGTCCTCAGGAAACGGAGGCAGAAGAATCCCAAGTTCAGGACCATTCTAGGTTGCATATTACATACATATTCTGCTCCCGGACAAAATAAGAGAACAAACAATTGTGAGACACTAGACAGTGTATGTTTACCTTTCTTTACCTTCCTCCAGAGACCCGAAAAAACAGCTATTTGAGGATATAGTAGGTCAACCAGAATCCAAACTTGCCATCCCCTTGACTGTGGCCTTCGAGCACCCAGCACTGGGCCAAGCACAGTTCTGTGGGTTAAATTACCCAGTGTGGTGTTTATTATGACTGACTGAGCTGACCATCAAGAGGCTGCAAGGCTGAGAAGGAAAAGGAGTATTACAGCATATTATAGCATGTGCACATGCTATAGTATGCAGGATATTATATATGCATACATGCTGTAGTATGCAGGGTAATACACACACACACACATGCTGTAATACGCAGTATATTACACACATGTACATGCTGTAGTATGCAGGATATTATACACACATACACATGCTATAGTATGCAGGATATTATACACACACACACACACACACACACACGCACACGCACGCACGCATGCACGTGTGTGCGCACACACTCATACATGCTGTAGTATCCAGGATAATACACGCACATATGATCTGTAGTATTGTAGTATACAGGATATTACACACACACATGCTGTAGTATGCAGGGTAATACACACACATATTGTAGTATGCAGGACAATACACACATGTGCTGTAATACACAGTATATTACACACACGTACATGCTGTAGTATGCAGGATATTATACACATATGCTGTAGTATGCAAGTACAAATACATTGCTGAGCTGTCATGTGATCAAAACATAGAGCTATGTTTTTATGAGAGTAGATGAGGCCAATTAGAACAAATCCAGAAAAACACGAAGATATGCTCTCTGGGAGCAGAATTTGATTGAGCCTTGTATCCGGTTATGTTTTTAGGGGGCCATGGTCTTGGGTAAGTTATAGTCTAGCAAAAGTGATTGGAAGTAACAAAGGCACAGGGCATAATACTAGATTATGGGGAACATCAGCTTGTCTTGCAAAGAAACTTCATGAGGCGGAGCAGGCCTTTGCCTTGGAAGTGATGTGTGAATAAGCCTAAATTATTGCTGTGCTGCAAAGTCAAAGTGTGGTTAAGTTAAGGGCTTCAGAAGTCCATTTGTAAGCTTAAGCTGTTTATAGCTGTTTTACAAATGTATAAAATTACATGGCGGTCAAAGCACGGCTGTTGGTGACATGTGACAGCTGGATTTTTAAAGTGCACACTTAGTGACAATGCAAAGCGTATTAGTATCACTGGAGACTTACATCAGACCCACAGAGGAGACAGAATGGGGTTAGGAGATTTCCTATATCTGTTTTATTTTCTTCTCTCTCTTTTTGATTCATAGCACAGGATCTCTGGAAAGTTAGGGAGGTGGTGGTGAATGAACAGTTAGCTTGAAGAGTTTGAAATGGAAATGTAACCCTTGTAGTGGTTTTCTTAGAGTCCCAGAATTTATGCTACCTGCAAATGAAGGCTTCCAGTTTTCAGAGTTCCATTTGTGATGAGTGAAAGCTTTATGCTGTGTTTAACGTTCTAAGTGAGCATATAACTTTTCTGTTTCCTCATTAATTCAGATATCTGGAATGTTGACAGCTTCTTAGGTTAAGTAACAATGGAAATGAAACTATAGCCAAAGGAAAAACATGAATATTATTATAGGATATAGATGGATAATTTCACATATATATAACAGATGATTTGTAGCAACCTTTTGTTTGTTTGTTTTTCAGACAAGGTATCCTCTGTGTAGCCCTGGCTGTCCTGAGAACTCTCTCTGTAGACCAGGCTGGCCTTGAACTGAGAGATCAGTCTGCCTCTGCCTCTGAGTGCTGAGATTAAATGTGCTCCATCATGCCTGGTTTTGCGTAGCAGTCTTTTGCCTGTATTTTTATATTGAATTCAGATATTTCTGACCTTAGAAGTAATTTTAGTTTGTCTGTTTGTACTTAGAGTCTAGAGTTTTGTACTTGTTGCTTCAGAAAACTGTTTTAGGGTAACAATCAGTAAAAGTACAAGAAATAATGATAATAATAATAGCTATTATTTATTGTTATCAACATCGTCATCATTATTTTGGTTATTGTTGTTCTTTTTGTGTTTGTGTTTTTGAGGCAGGGTTTCTTTATGTAGCTCTGGCTGTTCTGGAACTCTGTAGACCAGGTTCTTCTTGAGCTCACAAAGATCAGCCTAACTCTGCCTCCCGAGTGCTGGGATTAAAGGCATCCCTCCGTCCCCTGAGCAGGGAACTGTATTTCCAGGATGTGTCTAGGTTTCATGGTTAGGATATATAGGGCATCCCGTTGCTTGAGCACTGTAAGCTCTTTGAGTCCTTGCTTGTTCTCTCTTGTGTTTACATCATACTGTCTGTCTTTTGTATCTTCTGATCCTCTTGTTGCAGCCCTTTCCTGTCTATTTCCTCTTGGTCCTAACTTGTGAGCACACTGAAGTCATTTTGTAGTCTGCTTTTGTCTCCAAGCTACTTTCTAAATACCTTTCTCTAAGACCAAATGTTTCTGAAGCAGCAAGTGCTTCTGGCTTCACTGTTCATCTCTAAGTTTGTGCTGTTAGCTTCCGCCTTGCCATGAAAACTCCTCAACAGGATCTGTGATGCTCTGAGCATGCAAATCCAGCGTGGTGTGGTGGTATACACTGTATTTCAGGACTCTGGAAACTTCAGCGGGAGATTGCTTTGAGTTTGAAGGCAGCCTGGCCATAGGGCATTATAGACTAGCCAAGGATATATCAACATAAACCAATAGCAAAACAAAACAGAATTAAAAGAGAAAAAAAAACAGTCTAAATCCAAAAGTCTTTTCTCAGGTTTCATTCTACCATGTCTGCAATGTGGAGCACTTTGGCCTGTGCCTTAAAACTCTTTCTTCTTTTTTTGGAGCTTTTAGTGTGCTGCCTGTCCCTTGACTCTTTAATCAAACTCCTGCTGTGAGGCAGGCACTATCTAGTTATGGGAGACACACAGGACACAAAGCAGACAAACTTCAGTGGCATTTGCATCCTGCTCCTTCTTCCTAGTTCTCTGCCTTGTCCGGCCTAAGGCCCTCTCCTTACCTCCTGCCAGGGAAAGGTGCAGAGCAGTGTAGGAGCAGCACCTCATCCGAGGATTTCTGAGCATAACTTCAGCTTCTTGGTGCTTAGAAATTTTCAGAGCACTGTTATATTTTATAGGAAAGCAGCTAAGTTTAAATTATAGAACAGATGAAAAGACACAGTGGGACAACATGGAGAATGAATGTAGAATAAGTCTCAGGTATTATTGAATGGTCATATCTTACCTAATTTCAAATGACTTGATATAGTAATATAAGAAAGCACAGACTCAGAAGAGTGAAGAGAAAAGTAGAACCATGAAGATAAAATTAATACAGACTATTAGAAACCCAGCTGTGCCCTTGCTGGGCGAGGCAGCAGGGTGGGAGGGGGAACCAAACGTTTGCCATCATTGGCACCTTTTCTCTGTTATAAGAAA